GGGGTGATGGGGGTTATGGTTTGATGCTGTGTTTTTTTTTGTGTGATGTGTTTGGGGGTGATGCGTGTATGGTGTGATGCTGTGTATGGTGTGTTTTCGTGTTGGGGTGATGGGATTGTTTGGTGTGATGCGTGTATGGGTTTTTGTGTGTTTGGTGTGATGTGGTTGGTGTGATGTGTTAGGTGTGACCTGTGTATGGGGTGTGCTGTGTTTTGGGGTTTTTGTTATGGGTGTTTTGTGTTGGTGTCCCCGTGTATGGTGTGATGTGTGTATGGTGTGATGTGTTTTGGTGTGTTTGGGTGTGTTGGTGTGTGTGTTATGGGTGATGCGGTTATGGTGTGGGTGCGGTTTGGGGTGGGCCCGTGTATGGTTGTGCGGGTATGGGGGTTTTTCGTGTTGGGGTGATGCGGGGGGTATTTTTTGGGGTGATGTGTGTATGGTTGACCGGGGTGGTTTTTTGGTGTGGTTTTGTATGGTGTGTGGGGTGTTTGGTGTGTGCTGTTATGGTGTGCCGGTATGTGTGATGGGTGTATGGGGTGTGCTGTGTATGGTGTGGCGTGTATGGTTTGATGGGTGTTGGTGTGATGGGGTGTATGGTTGTTTTGGGGTTGTGTGATGCGTGTATGGGGATGTGTTGGTGTGTTTCGGGGTATGGGGTGATGTGTGTTGGTGTGTTGTATGGTGTGATGTTTATGGTGTGACCCTTGGGGTTTTGGGGGGGTGATGCTTTTAGGTGTGACCCCGTGTATGGTGTGACGTGTATGGGTGATGTGTATGGGTGACGTGTATGGTGTGACCCCCGGTATGGTGTGACGTGTAGGTGTGACCCCCGTTATGGGGTGAACGGGTATGGTGTGATTTGTGTATGGTGTGACTTGTATGGTGTGACCCCGTGTATGGTGTGACGGGGTATGGTGTGTTTGGGGGTATGGTGTGACTTTTTTGGGGTGCCCCGTGTATGGTGTGACCCTTTTTGGTTCCCCGTGTGGGGGATCCCGGTATGGTGTGACCCCGTGTATGGGGTGACCCCTGTATGGTGTGACTGTGTATGGTGTGACCCCCCCCGTGTATGGTGTGACCGGTTGGTTTTTGGGGGATGTGTATTTTGGTTTTTGTGAGTGTTGGTGTGATGTGGGGTTGGTGTGTTGGGTTTACGTGTATGGTGTGACCCCGTTTTTGGGGTGACCCGGTTGTATTGGACCTGTGAAGGTTTGATCCGGTGTTTTGGTGTGATTTTTGGTGTTGGTTGGTGTGCCCTTTTATGTGTGACCCTGTGTATGGTGTGATCGTTTTGGTGTGTTTTGATGGGGTGATTTTTATGGGTTTTTTTTGGGGTGACCTGTGTTGGTGTGACCGTGTTGGTGGACCCCGGTTTGGTGTGACCCCGTGTATGGTGTGCCTGTGTATGGGGTTTACCCTGTGTATGGTGGATCCCGGTATGGGTGACCCTGGTTGGTGTGACCTGTGTATGGTGTGACCTGTGTATGGGGGTGACCCTTGTATGGGGTGACCCCCGTGTTTGGGGTGACCCCGTGTATGGTGTGACCTGTGTATGGGGTGGGCCCCCGTGATGGTGTGACCCTGTGTTTGGTGTGACCCTTGTGTATGGTGTGACCTGTGTTGGTGTGACCTGTGTTTGGTGTGCCTTGTATGGTGGTGACCCTTTTATGGGTACCCTTGTATGGTGTGACCTGTTTTGGTGTGACCTGTGTAGGTGTTGCCCTGTGTTGGGGTTGTTTGTATGGTTTTTAACCCTGTGTATGGTGTGACCCGTGTATGGCTAAAAAGAAAAAGACACAATACCCTGACGGGAACAATACACAAATATTCCGTACATAGAAGTGAGTTTACGACAACGTTTCGGTCTGACTTGGAACAAAACGTTGTAGTAAGCACGTCTCGCTCTCCTGTGTACGGGGTGTGTTGTGTATGGTTGTCAAGCAGTCATCAGTCATCATGAGAGACACATGGTGGGTCATCAGTCATCATCAGAGACACATGGTGGGTCATCAGTCATCATCAGAGACACTGGTGGGTCATCAGTCATCATCAGAGACACATGGTGGGTCATCAGTCATCATCAGAGACACATGGTGGGTCATCAGTCATCATCAGAGACACATGGTGGGTCATCAGTCATCATCAGAGACACATGGTGGGTCATCAGTCATCATCAGAGACACATGGTGGGTCATCAGTCATCATCAGAGACACATGGTGGGTCATCAGTCATCATCAGAGACACATGGTGGGTCATCAGTCTTCATCAGGGGACACATGGTGGGTCATCATCTCATCAGAGACACATGGTGGGTCATCAGTCATCATCAGAGACACATGGTGGGTCATCAGTCATCATCAGAGACACATGGTGGGTCATCAGTCATCATCAGAGACACATGGTGGGTCATCAGTCATCATCAGGGGACACTGGTGGGTCATCGTCATCATGAGAAAAACCATGGTGGGTCATCAGTCATCATGAGAGGACAAAATGGTGGGCATCAGTCATCATGAGAGACACATGGTGGGTCATCGCCCATCATGAGGGGAACACATGGTGGGTCATAGTCATCATCAGAGAACATGGTGGGTCATCAGTCATCATGAGAGACACATGGTGGGTTCATCAGTCATCATCAGGGGACACATGGTGGGTCATCAGTCATCATGAGAGACACATGGTGGGTCATCAGTCATCATCAGAGACACATGGTGGGTCATCAGTCATCATCAGAGACACATGGTGGGTCATCATTCATTCTCAGAGACACATGGTGGGTCATCAGTCATCATCAGAGACACATGGTGGGTCATCAGTCATCATGAGAGACACATGGTGGGTCATCAATCATCATCAGAGACACATGGTGGGTCATCAGTCATCATCAGAGACACATGGTGGGTCATCAGTCATCATCAGAGACACATGGTGGGTAGAGCTTTATCTCTACCTGACTTGTTAAAGCTCTACACAGAGCGAAACGCTAAGGAATCAAACTCTTGTGCAACATTTGGGAATCTTTATTGAGAGCACGTTTCGCCAGCTAGTGGCTTCTGCAGTCCAATACAGAGAGAAGAACGATGAAAGATGAGAAGGATAGTGAGGTAATCAGTCTCTCAGCCTGGAGTCGATGTCTTCAATCCATCAGTCTTGAGAGAGGATTACCCAGTGTTGAACAAGTGACCATGGTGTGGGTGGTAGTGACCACATAACCATGGTGTGGGTGGTAGTCACCACATAACCATGGTGTGGGTGGTAGTCACCACATAACCATGGTGTGGGTGGTAGTCACCACAAAACCAGGTGTGGGTGGTAGTCACCACATAACCTTTGGTGTGGGTGGTAGTCACCAATAACCATGGTGGGGGGTGGTAGTGACCACATAACCATGGTGGGGTGGTGGGTACCACATACCATGGTGTGGGTGGTAGTCACCACATAACCATGGTGTGGGTGGTAGTCACCACATAACCATGGTGTGGGTGGTAGTCACCACATAACCATGGTGTGGGTGGTAGTCACCACATAACCATGGTTGTGGGTGGTAGTGACCAAACATAACCATGGTGTGGTGGTAGTCACCCATAACCATGGTGTGGGGTGGTAGTGACCACAAAAACCTGGTGTGGGTGGTAGTCACCACATAACCATGGTGTGGGTTGGTAGTCCCACATAACCATGGTGTGGGTGGTAGTCACCAAAATACCATGGTGTGGGTGGTAGTCACCACAAAACCCATGGGGGTGGGTGGGGGTCACCACATAAACCATGGTGTGGGTGGTAGTGACCACATAACCATGGTGTGGGTGGTAGTCCCACATAACCATGGTGTGGGTGGTAGTCCCACATAACCTTTGGTTTGTGGGGTGGTAGTGACCACATAACCAGGGGTGGGGGTGGTAGTAAACCACATACCATGGTGTGGGTGGTAGTGACCACATAACCTTTGGTGTGGGTGGTAGTCACCACATAACCATGGTGGGGGTGGTAGTGACCACAAAACCATGGTGTGGGTGGTAGTCACCACATACCATGGTGGGGGGGTAGTCACCACATAACCATGGTGTGGGTGGTAGTCACCACATAACCATGGTGTGGGTGGTAGCCCACCACATAACCATGGTGTGGGTGGTAGTCACCACAAAAACCATGGTGTGGGTGGTAGTCACCACATAACCATTGGTGTGGGTGGTAGTGACCCATTAACTTGGTTTGTGGGTGGTAGTCACCACATAACCATGGTGTGGGTGGTAGTGACCACATAACCATGGTTGTGGGTGGTGTCACCACATAACCTGGTGGGGTGGTAGTCACCACATAACCATGGTGTGGGTGGTAGTCCACCACATAACCATGGTGTGGGTGGTAGTCACCACATAACCATGGTGTGGGGTGGTAGTCACCACTTAACCATGGTGTGGGTGGTAGTAAACCAAATAACCATGGTGTGGGTGGTATCCCCACATAACCATGGTGTGGGTGGTAGTCACCACATAACCATGGGTGGGGTGGTAGTGACCACATAACCATGGTGTGGGTGGTAGTCACCACTTTAACCTTTGGTGTGGGTGGTAGTGACCACATAACCATGGGTGGGTGGTGTCACCACATAACCATGGTGTGGGTGGTAGTGACCACTAACCCAAATGGTGTGGGTGGTAGTCACCAATAACCTGGTGTGGGTGGTAGTCACCACATAACCATGGTGTGGGTGGTAGTCACCACATAACCATGGTGTGGGTGGTAGTCCCCACATAACCATGGTGTGGGTGGTAGTCAAAATATCACAGAGGCACAAAATGGGTCCAGGGATTGTTCCTCAAAGTGCTGATAATCACAAGCAAGATTACAGTGATATTGAACTAACTACATATTTATATTTGGTTCCAGTCATAATACCCCGATACAAAACTAACCAAACAATATATAAACCGCCCCCATTGTTACATTGGTATATTTAAAAAATATGTATTCCGCTTCTTTAAAACCTTTCCAGGACGTGCAAAATGGACAGAAAAGTGTAGATGCTAAGCTGACAGAGTTGAAGAAAATCAGAACAGACAGAGTGATCTTCGTGTCAGTGATAAGTTCTGTGGGAGGTCTTATGATAGTTGCTATCGCTGCTGAAATTATCTTCTCCTCGTATAAGCGCTATAACACAGTAAGTATATTTTTTGTTATCTTATTTTGGGCTGCTATAGGTTCATTACCTGGAATATACATTATTGTTAGACCGAGGAGTGTTGAAGTAACATTGATCTAGGTGATATTAACTATACCACGGGCGGGATTGAACCCGCGATCAGGTCTCTGATCGCGGGTTCAATCCCCGCCCGTGGTTTGGTTTGTTTGCAATCGTGTCATTACGATTTCGTGAGTCTATGTGACAATTCAGATGGTAGTGAAACTACACTATGATGAGCGGCGTTGTAACAGCCCTTGTATGGGTTATATTAGCTGAAGTAGACGGAAGTGATTCCAGTTGAGTTTTAACGAATCTTTAACATTTTTATCATCTTGTTCTGCTAGGGCACCGCTGGGTTCTCAACTGTTCCCCAACTTACTCCCTCCGCTTGATGTATTTCTCCATTTACCCCCTTACTTCCATACAAAAAATTATCGTCATCATCAAGGGACAGAAACACAAGGTCAAAAAAACAAATTATCAAGTTTTAAACAAAATAACATCGAATATATACCCCTTAGTGTATTTTTTTACCCCCAGGGGGTAAATTTACCTCTGGTTGAGAATCACTGTGCTAGACCATGTGACTTTAGTGCTCGACAAATGGGCTTTCCATATACTGCTTTGGGTACTGTTCCACCTTCCCATTCCATGTTGGGTGACAGGATTTTGGGTCCTACTCTTCAGTTTTAATATCTTTTTTATCCATCCTATCCCCAAATCCTGTGGGTGGTTAGTCAAAAATTAGAGGTATAAAAGGGGTCGAGGGACTCGACCGCAAAGTTTGAAAATAAAGTTACAGTGGTATGAACTATTGTATGTTTATAGTGTAAGAAATTATGTGGGTTTAAACTTAACAATGTCCTGAATTAACGTTTAAACCCCATGATTGTAAAGATAGATGGGCTAGTGAGAGGATAGGCAAATGGGGTCGAAGAATTATGGGGTAGGTTTAAAAATGTAGTGTTAGAGTGTTCAGCAGAAGTTTGTGGTTACAGGAAAGTGGGTGCGGGAGGGAAGAGGAGCGATTGGTGGAATGATGTTGTAAAGAGAGTAGTAAGGGGGAAAAAGTTAGATATGAGAAGTTTTTACAAAGTAGAAGGGGATGCAAGGAGGGAAGAGTATATGGAGAAAAAGAGAGAGGTTAAGAGAGTGGTGAAGCAAAGTAAAAAGAGAGCAAATGAGAGAGTGGGTGAGATGTTATCAACAAATTTTGTTGAAAAATAAGAAAAAGTTTTGGAGTGAGATTAAAAGTTTAAGGAAGCCTAGAGAACAATGGATTTGGGCAGTTAAAAATAGGGGAGGAGAGTTGTTAAATGGAGAGTTTGAGGTATTGGGAAGATGGAGGAATATTTGAGGAATTGTTAAATGTTGATGAAGATAGGAAAGCTGTGATTTCGTGTATTGTTTTATGAAAAACAGGATAAATAAATATACAAGGCATGATATAGCACGTAATGAAAATAGTTTGTTAGATTATAATTGGTGGATAAAAGGTTGATGGGGAGGCTTCAGGATGTAAATGTTTATAGAGGGGAAACTGATATATCAGATCATTATTTAGTTGTAGCTACAGTTAGAGTAAGAGGTAGATGGGACAAGAGGAAAATGGCAACAGCAAGTAAGAGGGAGGTGAAAAATGTGTAAAATAAGGGAGGAGGAAGTTCGGGTGAGATATAAGCAACTATGGCAGAAAGGTGGGCTGGTGCAAGTATGAGTAGTTAGAGGGGGGGCTTTAAGAGGGTTGGAATAGTTTTAAAAATGCAGTATTAGGTTGTGGGGGAGAAGTTTGAGGTTATAGGAGGGGGGGTGCAGGAGGAAAGAGGAGTGAAATTGGGGGAATGATGAAGTAAAGGGTGTGATACAAGAGAAGTGTGTGATGCTGTGTATGGTGTGATGCTGTGTATGGTGTGATGCTGTGTATGGTGTGATCCTGTGTATGGTGTGATGCTGTGTATGGTGTGATGCTGTGTATGGTGTGATCCTGTGTATGGTGTGATGCTGTGTATGGTGTGATCCTGTGTATGGTGTGATGCTGAGAATGGTGTGATGCTGTGTTTTGGTGTGATGCTGTCTATGGCTAAAGAATGTATGAAAGTATAGTGGTACCAACACTTTATATGGGTGTGAAGCTTGGTTGTAAATTTCAGCAGCGAGGAGGCGGTTGGAGGCAGTGGAGAGTCCTGTCTAAGGGTAATGTGTGGTGTAAATATTATGCAGAAATTCGGAGTGTGGAAATTAGGAGAAGGTGTGGAGTTATAAAAGTATTGTCAGAGGGGCTGATGGGGGGGTTGTTGAGGTGGTTTGGTCATTTAGAGAGAATGGATTTAAAGTAGAATGTCATGGAGAGCGTATAAATCTGTAGGGGGAAAGGGAAAGGGGGGGTAGGGTCATTTCCCCGAAAGGGGTTTGGAGGGAGGGGGTAAAGGAGGTTTTGTGGGCGAGGGGCTTGGACTTCCAGCAAGGTGCTTGAGCGTGTTAGATAGGAGTGAATGGGACCCAATGTTATTTGGGACCTGACGAAACGTTGAAGTGTGAGCAGAGTAATATTTAGTGAAGGGATTCAGGGAAACCGGTTATTTTCATATAGCGGGGCTTGTGTCCCGGAAATGGGAAGTACAATGCCTGCACTTTAAAGGAGGGGTTTGGGATATTGGCAGTTTGGAGGGGTATTTTTGTGTATCTTTATACGTATATGCTTCTAAACTGTTGTATTCTGAGCACCTCTGCCAAAAACAGTTTATAATGTGCGAGTGTGGTGAAAGTGTTGAATGATGATGAAAATATTTTCTTTTGGGGATTTTATTTCTTTTGGGTCCCCCCTGCCTCGGTGGGTCACCCTGCCTCGGTGGGTCACCCTGCCTCGGTGGGTCACCCCGCCTCGGTGGGTCACCCTGCCTCGGTGGGGGCACCCTGCCTCGGCGGGTCACCCTGCCTCGGTGGGTCACCCTGCCTCGGTGGATCACCCTGCCTCGGTGGATCACCCTGCCTCGGTGGGTCACCCCGCCTCGGTGGGTCACCCCGCCTCGGTGGGGCCCCTGCCTCGGTGGGTCCCCTGCCTCGGTGGTCACCTGCTCGGTGGGTCACCCTGCCTCGGTGGGTCACCCTGCCCCGGTGGGTCACCCCGCCTTTGGTGGGTCAACCCTTTCCTCGGTGGGTCACCCTGCCCCGGTGGGTCACCCTGCCTCGGTGGGTCACCCTGCCTCGGTGGGTCACCCTGCCTCGGTGGGTCACCCTGCCTCGGTGGGAGCGGCCGACTTGTTGAAAAAATATTATTATTTTATTATTATTATTATTGAGTCCTTAGCCATTTAAAGGTGCCTCGAACTTAGTGCATATAGACTATAAATGTGTAAAGCACATCTCTGGCAAGACAGTGATGGAGTGAATGATGGTGAAAGTTTTTCTTTTTCGGGCCACCCTGCCTTGGTGGGAGACGGGCCGATGTGTTATTAATATATTGTAGCTTCTTCAGTCGAATACAGAAGAATTAACAGAAGCAGTAGAGATGTGAAGACGGTGTAATCAGGCCATGGCTTGAAGAGTAGTTCTGAGGTGGTCGTCCCTCAGTCTGGAGAAGAGTTTTGTTCCAGGTCTGGTGTCCAGGGCTATGCAGTGTATTATTACAATAAAAAATAAGCGCTAAAACCTGTAGCGGGTTATGCAGCACCTGGGTAAATGGAAGGCATTCAGGCTTAGATCAAGGGGCCCCTTACCAGTATCATTATTATAGGGTAGGGGGAAGCTCTAAACCCGTAGGATTATATAGCGCCTGTGAAGGGATGTGGAAGGTATTCAGGTTTAATTCAGGGAACTGGAGCACAGATCCAATTCCCTAGATCAAGAGCCTCTCGCCAACGTCAAGGGACCTTCCTTGAGGGGGGGGGGTAACATTGTCAAATATTATATACAAGTATTTATGTAAGCGGCTATATTAATGGCAGCTTATACTTACACTATAAACGTTGCTTGGAATAATACACAAATAAATAACAAAAAGGCACAATACCGTGACTGGAACGATACACAAATAACCCGCACATAAAAGAGAGAAGCTTACAAAGCTTGGAATGTTTCCACCAGTACCAGCATCAAAGAAGCTTCCTTCAGCGGTGCATCTGCAAAAGTTATACATTATTATCATTATAAACCATACCACGGGTGGGGTTTGAACCTGCGGGTTCAAACCCCACCCGTGGTATGGTTTTGCAATCGTGTCATTACGATTTCGTGAGTTGTTATTATTATTATCATTAAGAGTATCCAAAGTTGTACAGTCCACGATAAATTCTTACACGTCATGCAGCACACTGCGACTCTGAAGTGTTCAGGAGCATTGTCTGCACACTGCTAAGATTTCGTTCAGATTTTTAACCCCGGAGGGTTAGCCACCCGGATAACCCAAGAAAGTCAGTGGTCATCGAGCACTGTCTTATTTCCATTGGGGTCCTCAAATTTTGTCCCCATGTGCACCCACACCAGTCAACAATGAACTTGAAGTTTATTAATTAACCCTTTCAGGGTCCGTCCCGTAGATCTAAGGCTTTACATTCAGGGGTCAAACCGTAGATCTCGCCATGAGCTCAGCTCACTCTGATAATCTGTAAGTGGTAAATTGGGAATATTTAGGAGAGAATAATCTATGTGGATGTGTGCACACACATAACAACAGATCCTGCAGCAACACTGGTATAATGAGAGAATAAAAATGAAATCAGGTTTTTTCGATTAAAACAGCAACTTTTGGCAGTTTTTTTCGTATGTTTTTTTTAGTTGTAATTTGCGATTTCTTGGTCTCATTGGATAGAATGGAAGACATATTACAGAAATTAGAGATGATTTGATTGGTGTTAGCATTAGGGATATGGCTTGAAACTGAGCCTCAAAGTAGCGTAATGTTAAATTTTTTGCCGTTTTTCAAGAGTAAAACGCAAACGACCTCACACGTCTAATACTCGTCGCTGGTGGATCTAATT